CGATGATGGAAACAAATGTACAAATGTGCCTGACACAATGGATGAATGTATGGATTGTGATAAGAGCTGTAAGAGCCCCCAATAAATTACTTTTTTAAAAAAAAAGAAGACATTAAAAAAAAGAAAGAACAATAACAGAAATTAATTTAGTTCCATTCATTTTCCTTTAAGGAAAAGCAAGTATACACACGTACTTTGAGGTTTCAAATTTCATATTAAATTCAATTTCTTTTCCAGTTACTCAAAGAAGTAAACCGTAAGAATTGTTTTTAATTGCTTTCTCTTAACACTTTGCCTAAAGTTTCTATTCTATTCTACGATAGCTTGGTACCTTACATGAGAAGCACCCCATTTTTGTGGCCTCTTCGCAGATGGTTCTTTGCCACATACCAGATGTACAAAACTTTCTCCCCCAAACTCCCCACTGCCATCCAGTCGATGGCTGATGCATAGTGACCCTCTGTGGAGTTTCTGAGACTGTGGATCCTCCCAGGAGTGGACAGGCGTCTCTTTCTTCCTGGGAGCAGACCAGTGCTTACTCCACGGCACCACCATGGCTCCTGTGAGACACATTAGAGTGGTAGATTAGCAAAACCAGCTGCCAGATCTCCACTTTGCTTTGGGGGCCTTTTCCACAACCATGGACAGACATTGAACGTAACGTTGGCATGCATTCCTCGTTCAGTGACATGTTATCCCCACAAAGGATGGCTTCTGACGGGCTTGTCTTCCTTTCCTTTTGCAGAGAACATGCCAACCTCTATCTTCAAATTGGGCCGGAGCGAATCGGCAGGGTGTATAAGAAGGCCCTGTATCTTCAGTACACAGATGGCACCTTTGGGACAGTTATAGAAAAGCCACCCTGGCTGGGGTTCTTGGGCCCGATTATCAAAGCCGAGACTGGAGATAAAGTGTTTGTACACCTAAAAAACTTTGCCTCCCGGCCCTATACCTTCCACACGCATGGAGCAACTTACTATAAAGACCACGAGGGTATGTTTAGCTTGGGTTCCTGCTACAGTCTCTCACGATGCAGTTGTTGTCAGTCTTGTTTTGTAATTGATCTGCTGTGGGAAGTCTCTGGATCACAGGGATCACCATGATTGGGTTCTAAACTTCCGTATCAATTGGCATTTCCAGTGACCATCATGCTGATGCCTTTCTCTTGGCCCGGGCTCGTTTATAGGAAGTGTGAGCCTGACGGGTCTCTGAGTGGTTCTGGATGAAGAGCGGGATTCCCAGGGTCCAGCAACTCCCTAGCTTCATCGACTAAAAGAACTGAGGCGCGGAGACCTATGAGGTCGTACCCAGGTGGCATGGTAGTTACACACTGGACTGTGATCCGCAAGGTCAACAGTTTGAAACCACCAGTCGCCCCGCTGCATAAAGATGGGTCTTTCACCTCCCCTAAAGAGTCGCTGTCTCTGAGACTCTCAGGGGAGGTTCTACCCTGTCCTGTAGGGTCGCTGTGAGTAGACACCAACTCAGTGATCGTCCGTTTTTGAGTGAAGGCCTAGAAGCGACGGAGGCCTGGAGGGAAGAGAAAGGGGAATGCGAGAAGACAGGTCCATGGCCAAAGCCACCACATGGGAACGTGCCCTGAGGCTTGTCCCTCCTATCTCGACTTTGATGAACGTCTGCCCCTGAAAGACCAATGCGGACCTGCAAAAACCAAACCAAACCAAAGCCGATGCCAACTCTTAGTGACCCTTCCTATAGGGCAAGGTAGAGCTCCCCGCTGTGAGTTTCCCAGACTGGAGCTGTTTACAGGAGTAGAAATCCCCTTCCCCCGAGGGGCGGCTGGTGGTTGCCAGTTGCTAGCGTGGCAGTGAACAGCCCAACACATAACCCTACGCAACCAGGGCCCCTGAAATGTCCCCCGGATTTCGCGTCACGTCTGAGACACACCGCTCACCAAAGGCCATTTGTAGACTGGAAAGGCCCATAAGATAACCAGGGGTCTCCTTGCGAATGGACGTGAAGGGGGTGATATTTGTTGTGGTTAAGAACAAGAGTTTTGAATTTAAGTGGCCAAAACTTGAGTCCCAGCGTTGGCTTCCGCTGGCTGGGTGACCTTGAGCCACTTCCTGAGGTTGTCTGAGCACCGGCTTCTTCTGCGGTGCATCAGGGACAATGACGGTGCGCAGTAATAACCTGAAAGAGGTCCTTGAAGACTATTGGCAAGATGCTGATGTCAATTGAAATGATAAGAAATAGATCTGGAAAGCAATATAAAACTATAATGTACGAACCACTATTCTTTTTTTTTTAAGAGTGAATGTTTTGACAACTGTTTTTATCATAGCAGTATCTCAATAAATATCAGGTATTGTCTTAGGGAAGTAAACTGAGGTCAAGCTATAGCTCATTAAGATGATAAGGAACAAGTCTGGAAAGTAATATAAAATTACATATTTGATTGATTACTAGTCTTTTTGGTTAATTAGTGATAATTTCAGATGCCTTTCGTTTTTTTTTCTGAGCCACTCAGCATAAATGGCTACCTCTCTTATTTTTCTTTTAGTAACTTAATGCTACATTAGGAGATTGTTTTTAATCTTTTTGGTATAATGATGGTATTGTGGATATGTTCAAATAAAAAATAATTCTTATCTCGTTTCTTGGTAAAAAGTACATTTTAAAAATTCTCAAGTAGACCCTGTTCTGCACCTAACCCTTTTCCCTTAGCAACATACCTCAGAGATCCTTTTTCAGCTGGTGCACCATTTTTCATAGGTGCATAATATTCCGTGGTGTGGCTAGAGACCATGCTTTCTTCAATGAGCGAAGGGTGCTTTGGTTGCACCTGCTCTTTTGCTTATTAGACAATTCTACAATGAACATCCTCAATAATACACTTAACTCAGGGATGAGGATATCTCTAGGATTTATTCCAAATTTCAGAGTCAGCATTGTGTACAGTTATTCTGATAGACATTACCTTCAGAAAGATGTGCCGATGCACAAAGAGTTCTTGCCTTTTCGATGAATTCTCGTGTACTTGTAAATGAAATGTTATGATCCCTGGGATGTACTTTAAAATAAACTGATAGTGATGTGGGGGCAGGGAGTGGATAATGTGTACGAAGTGGATAATGTGTACGAAGTTTCAAATTATAGGCAAGGGTAGTTATTTTGCTTATACTTGCATATCATGATCCCAAAGCAAAAGTCAGTTTTAAGTCGTGAATCAGAAGTCACTTTGCTCCTGATACATGCTCCTTGAATACTTGAGCAAGTATAAAAAAAGATATCCCAGATTCTATGATGCTTCCAGATGCCCAGCAAGTAGGGTCTCATCCCACTGAGTTCAAATAGGACACCCCTGCATCCTTATACAATCATATATGATATGTCCAATCAATGTTTGCTGAACAAAGCAAGGGACCCTCTGTTCCCTCACTGACATTCAAATACATTAGCTTTGCTTGAACTCCTCCTCCCATTGCTTCCCAGGGGCCATCTACCCTGATAACACCACGAATCTCCTAAAAGCGGATGATAAAGTGTACCCCGGCCAGCAGTACACGTACATATTGCATGCCACTGAAGACCAAAAGCCCGGTGAGGCAGACAGCAACTGCGTGACCAGGATTTACCATTCCCACATTGATGCGCCAAGAGATATCGCCTCCGGGCTCATCGGGCCTTTCATACTCTGCAAGAAAGGTACGTTTCTCATTATTGTGCATAATGTATGATCAAGAGTGAGGCACTTGTGTGCATGTGTGTTTAAGTACGTCAAGACGTCTGTGTTGAGATTGAGCAGATAAGGTAAAGAGGTGGTGAACCTAGAAAAAAGAAAAAGAAGAACAAGTCAACATTCAGAGGAGGGATAGATGGAACAAGCCTTCACTGGGAGAACCAGCAATGAGGGAAGGCACAAGGCCTAGGTGATGGGTACTAGCTACAAGAGGAATGGAACTTGGAAGCACTAAGTGAAATATACAGGGGTACCCAAAATTTTTTCAAAAGGAATTTTGCCCCCAAAGCTATGTATTTAAATTTTTTTTTTACAAAACAAGCTGATCATCTTCAATATATTCTCCATGACACTTAATACATTTGTCAAATCTACGATTCCCTTCTTGGACACGTTTTCCAAACTCATCTGTCTGGACGGCTGACAGCACCTCTCTCTTTTTTTTCTTCTTCACCTCTTCTATGTTGTCAAGTTGCTGTCCTTTCATGTCCCTCTTCATTGAAGAAAACAAAAAGAAGCTGCACAGAGTAAGGTCAGGTGAGTCAGGTGCATGGGGCAAGACAGGCATGCTGTTTTTTGCCCAGAACTGGCGCACTGAGATGACTACACGAGCAGGTGCGTTGTCGTGGCAACAAAACCAGTCTCCTGTCTGCCAGAAATCAGCCTTTTTGTGGCACACCGTTGCACAATATTTTTAGAACCTCTAAATAGAAAGTTTGATTAGGAGTCTGAGCTGGTGGAACGAACTCCAAACGCACTACGAGTCAATATGTTTGTCCTTTTGGGAAGTTGACAATGTCCAGAACGAGGTTTGTCATCGATAGATAAATCACTTTTTAGAAAGGAGAAAACTATCCGTGCACTTGAGTTTTTCCCATAGTGATGTCTTTGTGAGCCATGTTCAATATCACAACAGTTTCTGGGGCATTTTTCCTGAGCAGGAAACAAAATCCGTCACAAAAAACAAGGTGCAGTGACCAGAGAGAAACTTCCCAGGCGACACCACCAGGTGCACTAACTCAGAGCAAGTTTCTCAGTGCTTTCCTCGCAGGAAAAATGTGTGCTGTGAACGATTAGACAGGAACCCTGGGGGGCCGTGAGGAAACAAGCCCCCAAAGGAGGGTGAAGATAACTGCACAACTTGAAGCTGCAACCTGCTTCGCTAAATGCAGCATGTGGAAACTGTTGACTTGGTATATGTTTTCCTATCTCAGCCCTCAGGAGCCCTGGTAGTGTAGTGGTTATGCATTGGGCTGTGATCCACATGGTTGGCGGTTTGAAACCACTACCAACTATGGGGGAGAAAGACTGGGCTTTCTACTCCAGTAAATAGTTATAGTCTCAGAAACCCACAGGGACTCACCCTGACTCAGCGGTGAGCTTTAGAAATATATATATATGGATGTATATTTAATGCATATATATTTATATATAGATGTATATTTAATTTATATATGGATGCATATTTAATACATATTCTCAGCAATAACAAAATAAACTCTAAAACATTTTAAAATAACTATGGAGCTATGTTTGCTGCCTCTACATCAAACAATGGTTATTAAAGATATGCATGGCCCGACCAAATGTGATGCTCCCCCTGATACTCCAGGTGAGAGATCTACGGTTATCTGAATTGTATTGGAAAATATATCCAACTATTTATTTCTATCTTCGCAAAACAAACCTCAAGAAATTGCGATGTCACTCTCACTGGAACAATAAGTCATTGTTGGTGTTTTTAGCTGTCTTTGAGTTGACCCCTGAGTCATGGTGGCCCCGTGCACCATGGAGAAAGGTGCAGCACAGACTGGTGGGTTAAATGGAGGTGATTCACAGGATTCCCACTGGCTGATCTTTGAAAGCAGATTGACAAGTGTTTCTCCCTGGTTGGTATGATCCGGGGACCTCTGCCTCTAGTCAGTATCATAGCAACACACAAGCCTCCAATGACAAGTGACAGCTGCAAACGGGAATGCCTTGGCTTGGAACTGATCCCAGCCTCACGTATGGAAGACGAAAATTCAACTACGGAACCACCACGCTCCCTGAAAAGCAATTTGTTCCCTGAAGAGACTTGTTGTCCTAGCGTGTAGCTATATGATACCAGAAGATGTCTGTCCAACTCTGAATTTCCGTTTTCCTATTTGCTAAGCAGCACATAATGGTTATGCCCAGTGGTCATCCAGATAGATGTGTGTCTGTCAAGGCTAGGGTACTGAATGTGAGATAAAACAAGGATAACCGGTTGATATTGGTGGGTTATTAGAACAGACATTAAATATTTTTTAAAAATTAGTCATTTGAACTAATTCCCCTTAAAATCACATCTACTAAAACCATCTTTTTTTTTTTTTTAACCACAGATTCCCTGGATAAAGAAAAAGAAAAAAATATCGACCAAGAATTTGTGGTGATGTTTTCTGTGGTGGATGAAAATTTCAGCTGGTACCTAGAAGACAACATTAAAACATACTGCTCTGAACCAGAGAAAGTTGACAAAGATAATGAAGACTTCCAGGAGAGCAACAGGATGTATTGTAAGGCTGTAGAACACGTGTTCAATTTGCTTTTTCTTCTTGATCCAATAATTCTGCCAAGCTTCCCTCTCGTAAGAACAAGTCATGTGGGTCTAGTCTGTGCCCTGATAACAAAGTGTATTGGGTGTGCAGCTTGCTGTTCAGCTAAGCAGGTCAAATCAAATCCCCAAGTCTGGTAAAGCCACTCATTCCCAAACTGGTCAGGATAAAAGTTGTTCCACAAGTGTTAAGAATTAAACCACTGTGTTAGTCTGGGTAGACTAGAGAAACAAATCCAAAGAGACGCATACATGTGTAAGAAAGAGCTTTACATCAAGTAGCAATTGTATTAAGAAACATCCCAGCCCAGCCCAGATCAAGTCCATAAGTCTGATATTAGCCCATATGTCCAATACTAGTCCATAAATTCCTCTTTAGACTCACACAGTCATAGAATAATGCCAAATGCAGGAAGATCCCAGGCCAGTGGGTGGAAAGTCTTGTGGATCCAGTGGTGGTAGAAGCATCTCAGCACTGGCGTGGGTCTTCCCGTGGCTCCTCCAGCTCCAGGGAGGAAGACAGGAGTTCCCAGAATCCTCAGGTGAAGCCCATGCCTCACAGAGGCCTCATTGGCTGTGACCTGATTGACAGACTCCACCCCTCACTCAAATTGCTAGGAGTTGACGCAACTGCCACCACCACATGATCCATTATAGTTTAGTAGGTATGGCTGTTTATAGCTATATCATTAACTTCATTCTAAAACTTACCTGGACCAGCCTAACACTAGTAAAATAGTGCCATACCATAACACATCTACCATATATACTTGAGTATAAGCCAACCCGAAATTTTCAAAATAAAATGTTCAAAATTTCTGGTCAGCTTAGCCTCGAGTATATAAGGTAACTATATTTAAGAGTTCGAACTAGTAGTGTTTAGATATTTCTCGTACATTTTATGTTGTCCTTTACCACGCCTCCCACACTACATCCTTCTTATTTATAGTGCAGTTTGCTTTATGTCTTCTAGAACGGCCTTCTTGACTGCCTACTCAATTTCATTCTCAGACACTCAATTTTAGTCTATCCCTCGGAATTTGCCTGAGAAATGTACCCTTGACACCAAACTACAATGGGTTTAGATTTTTGTTTGTTTCTGTAGCTTCTTCCAAACAACCTTCACAGGAAAGCAAGAAGACGGACAGAGCTGTCACACCAAAGTAGGAAACAGACTAACAAGTACAGGCTTTGTTCCCATGTCTCCTTCCAATTAGCGGAAGGAGCTCCTTTCTGGACTTTCACCCCGTCTGGGTTGGGTTTTGACAATAATAGATGTCAGGGGGAAAGTTCCTCTAATCTAAGGTGACTCGCTGTGTCTGGTTGTCTAATCTGAGGCCTTCGGGCCCCTCCCCAGCACCGGTTTTCCCCCTCCTCGTCGGCCAGCCAGTGTGAGCAAGGACCCTCCCGTAGGTCTCAGGCTGTGCTGCTTTGCGCCTTCAAGTCCTTGGTGCCTCACGTCCCTGTCGTTCTTCCCCTGTGCGTTTCCTTTTCCACTCTCAAAGCTAAAAAGGGTCTTGAAATCTAAAAAGACAATGATAAATCCTTGTATTCTTATTACAAAGACACTCCATATTCACTGCACGAAATTCACTGGAAGAGTTCTGATAAGTGAAGAGAAAAGAAATGAATGACCCCCTCACCTTTGGTATTTTTTATGAACTGTATATGTGTTTTGTATCTATGTCTATGTTTCTACATGTATATTATGTTTAGAGATACCCGTGCATATGCATACCATTTGTGTATATACAGTTTTTAATGAAAAAGGTAAAAGGGGGTTCATCTCCAAGATTGTGTTCAGCTGTGGGCATTATGCTGACAAGGACCCCAAGATTGAACTCAGGTTCAAAAACAAAGATTTCGTGATTGTTAGGGACAGTCAGATCAGGGACGGGGGGTGGAACAGCAGCAGGTGTACCAGGTCCTTGCCATGACGAGTTGATTCTGTGTCTGGAGACCCTACACCTCCCATGAGCCCAGGCAGCCGTGCCTCTTAGTTACACGCCCTCTGCTCTTCTTCTCAGCGGTGAACGGATACACCTTTGGAAGTCTGCCGGGACTCAGCATGTGTGCGGAGGACAGAGTGAAGTGGTACCTCTTCGGAATGGGCAATGAAGTGGACGTACACGCTGCTTTCTTTCACGGGCAAGCGCTGACCAACCAGAACTACCGGGTGGATACGATCAACCTGTTTCCTGCTACCCTGTTGGATGCGTTCATGGTGGCTCAGAACCCTGGCGAATGGATGCTTAGCTGTCAGAATTTGAACCATCTCAAAGGTAAAATACCTTTATCTGAAATCAGCTGACAGTTGGGGTGGGATGGGGTGGGGGAGAGGCATGTCTGAATTATCGTATCAATTGAGAATCAGAATCTAAAAGTTAAAAAGTTTTTTTTTTAATTGAACTTGATTCTGGTGATGATTGTACAAGCCTTCTTACTAGAACTGGATGATCCAAGTGTATGAGAGGTGAAGTAGAGCCCGATACAAATATAATAAAACTCTTAAAATATAATCATTTGCCTGGAGATGGTTGACACCCTCTTCTTAATTCAAATTTATGCATTAAGAATACATGCAGTGCATAAACTCAGACTATTTCATGACTGATTGACTGGTAACCTGAAAATGAACTGCAAATAAATGTTTAAATGAGAAAACAAATTTATTTGAACTACTTAGCTTTCTTCCTGAGCTGATATGTGTTCTAATGGAATGATGCATGGAACAAAGAGATGTGAAATACACTGATTTCTGGAAAAGAATAATTGGTCTTGAAAGTAGAGTTCAGTATATGGTTTTTCAACTTTCTAAAATACCACGGTATTCTAAAAACCAGACAATTGACATATTGTATAGCAAAGAAGCCTTAATTTTTTTTAAATAAATTATTTTATTGGGGACCCTAACAGCTCTTATCATAATCCATCCATCCATTGTGACAAGCACATTTGCCCATAGGTTGCCATCATCCTTTTCAAAACATTTTCTTTCTACTTGAGCCCTTGATATCAGCTCCCCGTTTTCCCCGCTCCCTCTCTCATGAACTCTTGATAATTTATACATTATTTTTAAAGAAGCTTCTTTTTTTTAAAGTTGACTCTCTCTGGCAGATCTCACTTAATTCTTTATTCAAGCCCAGCTGTTCCTCACTTGAACAAGCACTGGTAGCATAGTAGGGCTGCATGTGGGCTGGTAGCATAGTAGGGCTGCATGTGGGCTGGTAGCCACAAGGCCAGCCTCTGGAACCCACCAGACATTCCTTGATAGGGCGGTGAGGTCTTCTGCGCTGTGAATATTGACACTCTAGGAAACCCAAAGGGGCAGATCTCTCCTATCCGGTGGCGTCACCAAGAGGCGACCTCATAACAGTGACTGTGTGTTTATCCTTTGATCTAGCTTAGCCAACTCCTCTTCTGTCTGTTTAATGAGCTGATCACATTATTTCTAGGACTTGAAAAATATGGCTGTGTGGTCCTCAAGAAATTGGGTTTAATCCATGCCTTTGTGAAATATGGGTATGTTTCTTGGTCATTCAAGCATCATGCCAACTATGAAATGTGACCTAGAGGGGGCAGTCCATGGTGGTGGCAAAGTCAGCTGCCTCCTAATGCCCTTCTTGCAACCAAGACCCAAGAAAACAAGTGAATCAGATACAGGTGGGAACTTTGGGGCTTTGAGCATCAGACCAGGTGTCCAGTGGAAGGAGAGACTGTACAAAAGCCACGAGCACTGAGGACTGTGCATCCTGGGCACCGAGTTAGCCCCACATGACCATCCTGAGATGAAGCAGAGCGAGCAGTGTTCCCAGGCAAAGTACTTATCACTTGGCCCACCCCTTTCCAGCGTCAGGCAGGAGTGTGCCTTCCCCTGCGAAGGTGAAGTGTGTTCACCTCACCCACAATGCACTGGCCCCCCACAAAAGGCCTGTGGACCTGTGGTGACCATCCCCCCTCCCCACTGCCTTCACCCACCCAACCATGTGCTTGATCACAGTCTAGCAGCACTTACCTACCCCTTGAGCTGGGACCTACAAACCACTGACAGCCACCTGGCCGCTCAGCCCCACATGTTGGCGGCATGGGCCTCTCTGCCTGGTCCCCAGCATTGGCGGGGTGGGGGTGAGGGATGGAATGGTGGCCTCTCCTCCTATCCCTCAGCCACCCATACTAGGGGCATACAGACTGGCAATATCCACTGCTCTCACAACTGGCACCAGAACCCCAATCCTACAACCAATGACCCATGCAAGGGCCCCCAAACCCACATCACACACTACCCTGCGTTGCACACCAGTGTCTGCAGATGCTCACAGACTGGAAGCATCCCCTTTCCCTACCTCCTCATCCTGTCCCCCGTCACTAGAGATGGACACCTACTCCAACGGCCCCTGCTCTGCTGCTCATGCGGGCCACTCTGTGAGAGCCTCCATTCCACTCTCCCAGTGACCGGTGATGCAGACATTCTTCCCCGACCATGGGAATGACCCCTGCAGCCATGCTCAGGTGACCAGCTGAACAGATACATTATCTCACCGGCAGTGCCAGCTACATGCCCAGCCGCACTGGAAGACTAGCAGAGACCCATACTTGCATGCCAAGCCGTGCCCCACCCTCCCAGAGATAGAGGTCACATTAGCCATGGAGGGGAGCAGGCATGCCCCACCCACTCAGAGAGACAAAAACTCATGGTGCGAAAAGCCAAGACACAAGACCGAGAGAGAGGGTGGACAGATAAAAGAGCACTCTCACCCCTCAGAGCGAACAGGGACTATCAAGCCACATCCAGAAGCAGGACCGGATGGACCCAGACAGCCTTCCAGGGGAAGAAATGGTAATAGAGCTGCCCAGTAAGAATGTTCAAATGACTCAGAGCCCTCCAGGGGATCAAGAAAAGCTCTGGTAAATCGAAGGCAAACGCAGAGTCCGGAAAAGCACAGGGGAAGCGATAGAGCCCAGGAAGAACAACCCAAGGACATCACAAGACAGACAAGAAGAAGCTGCATGAAAACAGTGGAGGGAAGCCAGAAGGGTTAGCCAGGAAATCTCAGCAATAGACCCTGGGGCAGTGGGGCGCCACCTCCCCCAGGCCACCACCCTTTCAGACAGTCCTCGTGCGGTGGGGACCCCAACCATAAACTGATTTCCATTGCTACTTCATCACTGTCATTTTGCTACTGTGATGAATCATCATGCAAACATCTGATAGGCAGGATGTATTTTTATGGTTACAAATTGAACACCATGAAAGCACAGTGCTTCATCATGAAAACAATATGTCATTACATATTGTGAAATATTTATTTCTAATGACAAATCAATGAAATGTTGTCTTGAAGCATGGTGTAGCATGGGTCACAATCTTCACGCCGGGACTCATCTGTGGGCGTATCTGCATGTGGGCGGACCCGCCTGGAGACGGTTAGAGGAGCGGTGTCTCGGTTCCTAAGACCATCCATCAGAAATAGGTGTTTTCTGATGGTCTTAAGACGACCCCTGTGAAAGGGTCGTTCGACCCCCAAAAGAGTCGTGACCCACAGGTTGATAACCGCTGCCCTAGAAGGACAGTGAAATAAAAAATGCATTCCTTGGCATCTGTTTGCTGAAGATCTCAGAAAAACTAATGAAGAAAGTCTAAGATCGGTGAACACGGTCAAGAAGAAAAATGCATATAGAATCAAAGTTCCGGAACAACAGAGACTTGTTTCAAGATGTGCTGGGAGGTCACTTCCCTCCTATCGTGAAGCAGCAGCGATCCAGAGCAGAAACTCAAATGTCATTTGGTCCCAAAAGTCCTCGCCCACACGTGCACAGCCATTCTGCGTGAGCGAGCAGTGACAGCACAGCCCTCCCAGTGCTCCTTCCCACCCACTGCCCCGTCAAACTGGCACAGCCCTCGGCCTTATCTACCAGGACTTTTCTGTTTTCCTCTCATGAAAAGAGCTTCCAAGAGAAGCTGACAACATATTTTGAAAACGGTGATGCTTTATATATATCATTTTTTTAACTTGAATTTTTCTCTCTATTTTTTGTAGCAAAAGAAAAGGTTTTATTCATCACAGCATGAAAATGACATGAGGTTCTATTAGAAGGAAACCAGGCTAAATGGTGCTGTTATAAAATTTACATTTTTCCTATCTGTGGCAAAGGAAACTCTTTCATATAGAGTTCCTTTTGACCCGTGGACTTCAGTAAAACCTTTGTCCCCACCCCTTGAAGCAGTAAATAGCAGCATTCTAACTGTGCACAGTACTCGTTAGCAAGGCAGCCATCACATCTCTTCTAGCCTAGCCAGCACGATTAGGGACGTTCTGTTAAGTGTTAAGGACCACAGCTCTAGGCTAGTTACTGTGCCCTGCACCTCGTTCATTGATGTAGCAATTCATCACTTGCCCCGGCAGCCACCACGACGAGCAAGTTCCTTCAAAGGAACAGTTCACCGGGATTAAGATTCTAGTCCATCATCTGCCCAGGCACCCTTCCCTCGGGCACCCATGGCACACACAGTTGTCTTTGGTACACAGGGAGGCAAATATGGTGAAAGGCAATTGCTGTCATCCTTTAGTACACAACAAATACAGGCAATGCCTTGGTGTGACTTGAAATACTTCCAGTTCTTAAAGAGGCAAGGCGTCAGAATTCTCCTCCAGGGGGAGGCGGGAAGAGAGGGTTCGCTGCAGGAGGTGTTGAGACTGTAGTGAGTTTTTCGTCCCCTGTTAGCCCTGCGTGGCCGGCCTTGCCACCGCCACTACGTGCAAGCAGGCTTCCTGGGCAGCACTGGCCTCTGGGGCTGTCAGAAAGTGGATCTTGTGGCCAGAGCACCCTGTGCTATTTGCAAACATTCAGGAACGCTCCCTCTCCACTTTGTGTCCCATCTTTCTGTCAAACTGACCACCAGAAAGCTCTCCACTAATGTCCCCTGTGGAACGCCCACCCTGTAGGAATCCCGCTGGTGTGGTGGTTACACGCTGGGCTGCTAACCACAAGGTCGGCTGTTCGAAACCACCAGCCACACCGCCAAGAGTGATGGTCTCAACCCACACGTGCAGTTCTACCCTGCCCTTTAGAGTCACTACACGTCAGCATCGAATTGTTTCTGGACCTCTACACACACATGCACCCCAAAAAGGAATAGAGGTACATGGTCTCTTTGCATTTCCTGACAACAACATCTTCTGAGCACCTCCCCGGAAGCAGGTGGGGTGTGGTGACATTTAGTTTGGTTGTTGTGTTTCTGGGTGGTGCACACGTTCCCTCAAATCAAACTCACTGCCATCGAGCCCACACTGACACTCAGCCACCCTATAGGACAGGGCAGCACCGTGGGTTTCTGAGACTGTATCTCTCTACCGGAGTTGAAAGCCCCGTCTTTCTCCCTTGCCGTTTGTGGTTTCAAACTGCTGACCTTGCCGGTAGCAGCCCCGCAGGCACCCTGGACACCATCAGAGCACCTGGTAGATGCATCCTAGTGTCTCTCTGTGCTTCCAACCCGCTTCTGCTGCGTCAGCAGCGGTGTTTACGAGGCAAGAGGATAAAGAAGTTCATTTCTAGTCACGAGCCAATGTTCTGTTCTCGTTCATGTCCAGCTGGCCTCCAGGCCTTCTTCCAAGTCCGGGACTGTCAGAAGTCTCCTGCGGAGAATGGTGCCCTGAGCAAGACTGTCCGACACTACTACATCGCCGCCGAGGAGATCATCTGGCACTACGCGCCTTCTGGAATAGATGTCTTCACCAAAGAAAACGTAACTGCACCTGGAAGGTATTTCAGGACCCAGGCTGCCGTGGCAAGAAGACGGATCGTGGTTAAAATGTCCATGGGGATCCGATACGAAGTGGTTCGACAGCTAGTATGAGAATCCCAGTGTGAGAGGCACGAATCTTGAGTGCACTGGGGGTCGGGGGTGGGTGGGTAGGGGTCTGAAAATTCATCAAACACTTAACAGGAGAGCTATCTGTTTATTTTCCCTTTTCAGAAGATTTAGCTTTTTGAAATTGGCAAAAAAAAAAAAGGTAATCATAGTGGGACTTTCAAAATATGACACAACTTTGCAGAAAGTTTCCCTTCATGTGTGTTCTGGGCTATCCTAGCTTCCAGGCAAGGACTCCCTCTTCCCATCTGCCTTAGAAAGCCTTCCTCGTTCGAATCCATGCTGAGCAGAAATCTACCCTGAATTCTGCCAGTGCATGCACACACCCTCCTCTCAGCCTACACAAGCCTTTCTTTATTACATGTCTGCATGGCTTCCATAACTGACTGCTCCGGCCCACCCGCTTTCCTTCCCACACACCATTCTCGACAAAGCAGCCAGCAGTGCTAATCAGACTGTGCCCTCGCTCTGAGCCGGAGCTCTGGGCACATGTCACCCTTCAGAAAAGGCTGATTTGTTGCGCCATCCGTCTTAAAAAAATCCCCTGTTGGAGACGTGAAATGATTTACCCAAGGTCACAGAGCAAGTCAGTAAGCAGGTCTGGCTCCATCCGAATCTACATTCCAGAGGAGAGATTTTCCTCCCCCTCTTTACTGACACCCAGAGGCTGTGGCCCCGGTGCTGCATCTCCAGGCGGGAGACCTCTCGGACTTCAGCTGTGCATTTGGAACGGCTTGGTGGGCGTTCCCACCTGGATGAGACCCAGCCCGCTCAACATATCCAGTCTTGACTACATCGTCTCCCCTGCAGATCTGCAGCGTTTCCTTTCTCCCGGGAATGGTAGAGCCATGGATTCATTTAAGTTGGCACTCTCCCCATCCCCTTTGTCTCTGCCACCACTCCTTGCTCTCCATGCCACTTTTGCCTCCCGATACCCCACATGCCCCTGAAAACCACCTGCTTCTCTCACTGGGATTACTTCAGGAGCCATCAACACCTCTCATTGGAGACGTTTCTTAACTGCCCTTCCCCAACCACCGCCCCACCCCCCAACCACCCCCACATTGCAGTCTTGCGTTTTCTGGTCCTTGAGAGATCCTGTACTAAACATGAATCCTGACTTCTAAAATCTTTCAAAGGCTTTCCGTGTCCCTGCAATAGGGTCCTGGGTCCTGGACTAGGTCCTACTGCCCACTTGCTACCTCCCCAAGTCACACCCTCCACTCCCTTGTCCGGCCTGACGCCCTGCGGCCCTACTGTCTAACACATGCTTGTTTCCTCTCTCCTCTGAGCCGGCCATAGACCGCCTTCCTCTTCATCCCCGGGCACCCGTCCTCCCCACCACACACTGCACTTGCTAACGCTACTGCGGCCGTGCTATTGCAGTTGTTAGTACCATTGACTTGACCCTGATTCATGGTGACCCGTGCACAGTGGAACAAGCAGGCCCGTCAGGTCTGCGGTCATCCCCACGATCAGTTACACATTGGTTGGTTGTGATTCACCGGGGTTTCAAGAGCTGATTTTCTGAAGTAGATCAGGAGGCCTATCTTCCTAGTTCCTCTTAGTGGGGAAGCTCACTTGTGACCTGCTCAACATCACAGTCTCCGCTGACAGATGAGTGTCGCTGTGCACTTGGTATGTAAGCTAAGTGATCTACAGAGCAGACGGGGCTTTCTGCTCCCGTAAACAGTCAGCCTCGGGAGCTCACAGAGGCCGTTCCACTCTGTCCTGTGAGTCAGTATTGACCCAATGGCAGTGCGTTTGGCTTTTTGATCTAAAGGCTGCGCCTTTCCATTTTTTTTCATTACTTCCTCACTAAAGCCTTTGCAACCTTTCCCGTCGCCTCCAGCAAGCCCAAGAGAAATGCTCACTGACACCCTATGCTTATGAGACATTCATAAGCCTTTAGGAGCATGCTTCGGCTTACTTTCGTGCATGAACCATTGATGGAGTCATGATTGTCTTCTCTGAGAGACATGGGCTCAATGTAGACAGACGGGCCCAGCTGGCTCTGATCGTCTCATCAGCACAGAGAAAACTATGGGGGCTCAATACGTTTGTCGAATGAATGAAGAGATGAACAGGTGGCTTTTTGCAAGTCACAGTAACTTCTGGAATTTAATTCCCTTAGTGATGCTGTCAGGTCAGCATTGAACGGCTAGCCCCAAAGGTCGGCAATTCAAACCCATCAGCAACTCCGAGGAGGAAAGATAAGATTATCCACTCCTGTGAAATGTATAGTCAGAATTGCCTTGATGGCAGTGGGGTTTGGGGAGTTTGCTTCATCTGTATACCTACCCAAACCCCAAAACCCAACTCAGTGTTATCAAATCAGTTCTCACTCATAGCAACCCTACCGGACAGGGTAGCGCTGCTCTGATGGGTTTCTGAGACTGGGCTCTTTAAGGGAGTAGAAAGGTTTGGAACTGCTGACCTTGTGGTTAGCAGCCCAGCACATAACCACCGCCAGGGGTCCTTTTATACACCAAACCCCAAACCAAACTCACTGCCATCGAGTGGATTCCAACTCACAGCGACCCTCTAGGACAGGGTAGAACTGCCCTTATGAGTTTCTGAGACAATAACTGTATGGGGGAGTCAAAAGCCCCATCTTTCTCCCTCCAAGAGGCTGATGGTTCCAACAGCCAACCTTTCATATCACAGCCCAGCCAGTAACCACTACATCACCAAGGCTCCTTCTTCTAGCTACATAAACATGCATACACACATAGGTATTTGTAAAACAGAGAGAAGGATACCATGTTGGCTACGTTGTCATGCAAGTTTAAAATAATAAACTAATGAAAGCCTCTGGGCACCTGGCATGCACAAATATTCTGTAAGCAATAGCTGCTGTTTTCTTGCCAACAGTTGACACACTCAGCTCCTAACCAAAAAGCTGGTGGTCCGAGTTGCCTTAGAGCCCCTGGAATTTCTGAAAAAGAGCCATCGAAGAAAGCAAGAGTCACCTGATTCTGAAAGGGGGCCATCGTAGCCCAGTTCTACTCTGAAACACCCGGGTTGCCATGAGTTGACTTGGCGTCAATTTGTTGGCAACCGTTTTTCTTTCCACGCTTGGATGTATTGTATAAAATTCCCACCACAGAATCTGACAGCATTTTGTTCCATTTTGCATGACGGGGTCACCATACATCAATCTTGAATTTTTTTTCAATGTACTTGAAAGAATGAAACTTCTATTCCACAATTCTTCATTCTTTAACTGATCCTCTTTCTGTCAAATGGCCTGGTACCATCTGCTTTTGTCTGCCTGTCTGTCACAGATTACTGTCTATTGTGGGAAGCTCTAAGACTGGCCAGATCCACCCCCACCCCCCACCATCCCTCTTCAATTAACACCTCATGTGAATACTTGTTTTCTGGTCGGCTTCACCTCTAGCAGTAAACCTTTTTCCTTGGCAGTGAGTCAGAAGTATTTTTCGAACAAGGCGCTACAAGAATCGGAGGCGCTTATAAGAAGCTGGTGTACCGGGAATATACAGATGCCTCCTTTGCAAATCGGAAGGAGAGAGGCCCAGAGGAGGAGCATCTTGGCATCTTGGGTGAGTCAGTGCAGAATATGAGGTCTGTCTGAGCTGGTGGGCTCTCCCGCTGGACCATGGGCATCTCAGAAAGAATAGCGCGCAGTGTTTCTACCTTCCAACTGGGCTGTGATCTGCTCTGTTGCCATTAAAAGCAGCAGTTCATTGCTTTTCAAAATGCAAATTACTGATAGATCTTCATCATTCAAAGTCCGACTGCCCTCAAATATCTGCACCACCCCCACCCATTCAAAAAGGTAAGGAGAATCATGTGCCTATATGACTTAAGAAGATAGCTAAGTTGTTGCCATGATCTAAGGAATAGAAAGCATATGGTGCCTGGCTCTTTGGATCAGGAGGAATAATCGCAGCTCTCCCTGATGTGATCACAGACCTTGAATTACTTACAGATTAGTCAGAATGACAATCGGTAGAGGAGGGCTCCTCTGGAACCAGGTTGCCTCAAAGGGCTCCCGTCTAAGGGTGGAATGTTGAGTTCCTTGTCCCCGTCTCCAGACCCCAAGGTTGAGGGAACCATGGGGGGGAGTGGGGGATGGGGGGCGGTGGGCGGTGGGGGGGAAGACTCAGACCTGGGGCTTTAAAGCCATAGGCATAAAGCAGAGGGATCCGTGTGCTGCAATCCTGGGGAAAGGCAAAAGGAGTAGGAGGAAGGGCCCTTTGCTCAACACCACTGGCCTGGCTACCTTATTGTCAGGAAGGTACTTCTGTTTTAGATGCAAAACCGTCTTGCCAAAAAGAACCTTCCTTCTCTTCCGGCTACAAGACTGATTTTGTAAACTTGCGTTTTGTGAGTCATATAGAAAGAGCCAGGGGGCACTTCCTGGTGGGGCATACTCTTTGATGAGTATGTAGCTAGGGAGGGTTATGCTGGCGCCGTGCAGGGCTACCCAAGAATAGGAGACAGAGGCTGTCACTGTGAGCTGGGAACATCAAAGAAGGCTCCTCAGATGAAGAAAGGGGCTGGTCGTTCCCCTGTGCACGATAGAATGAAATGGTGGCGAGTCCCACACCACCCTCCCAGATGGTCCTAGGCTTCACTGTGTCCGTCCATCCGTCTCATCCAAGGCCTTTCTCTGTGTCCTCTGGCTGTAACTACACTGCGTGATACCTCATCACGGGTGATGAGCACCTCACCAAGATGTAATTGCTGAACTGCGTCATAATCGCCAAGTTAGAGCATCATCGCCTAGCCGAATTCACACACAACCCGAACTGTGACAACCACACCCTGACTCCCGGGACAAGGAGCACCCAGAGGGACCACCATGCATTGGGCTTAACTTTGCCAAGTTGGCATAATGGGAACCACAGCCAAGGACGACAAGCGTGAAGCGGGTGGTCTCTGGGGATGTTTAAGGAGCGCTCGGGAGGAATGCCAGGAGCGTGGGTGTAGTCGCCCTTGTGGGTACTCCTTGAGCCACTAAGCTCAAAGGGAGCCGTTTAAAGTCACCAGCCTTGGTGGTGCAGTGGTTACACATTGGGCTGTGACCCACATGGTCAGCAGTTTGAGACCACCAGCAGCTCCATGGGAGAAAGGCTGGACTTTCTACTCCTGTAAATGCTCTCAGGAAACCCACCCAGTGGGGGGTGTCACTAGGAGTTAGCAGTGACTCGATGGCAGCGAGCTTGTTTTCTGTGAAATAAAGAGGAGATTTTTCTGCTCCCATAAAGATTTACCATCTCGGAAACCACAAAGGCCCTGTCCTAGCGGGTCCTTATGAAGCAAAAGAGACTCTGTGGCAGTGAGTTTGGGTTTTTTGTTTTTCATTTTTGGGGTGATGTGATGGTTTAAGTGCTGAACAAAGGGCTGGTGGTTCAAGGTTACCCAACTCCTTCCCATGAGTAAGCCCCAGGCATCTGCTTCCACAGGGAGCAGTTCTACTCTGCCACGTGGGGGCCACTATATACATCAACAGCTCTACGGCCCCTGACAGCAATCACAAAGCTCCTGAGCAGGCTCAGAGAAAAATGATAGCATATTTCATTCACCCCAAGTGGGCGCGAAAAGCCTTTCCTGCCCCCCCCACACACACACACACCCCCACACCCCTTCCAGGCCAAACTGATCGAGAACTTTTCAAATGCCAAGTTTTCCATTGGCCACAACTAGGTGTGTAACTCCCAGGGGCTCCTTCCGAAGTGCCAGGCCGAAGAAAATGAACGTCTTGTGTGTTCTTCATGTCGTTTGCCAAGTGAACATAATCGTTGTTTCTCTCTTGCCAGGTCCTGTCATTTGGGCCGAGGTGGGAGATACCATCAGAGTGACCTTCCACAACAAGGGCCCTTTTCCCCTCAGCATCGAGCCCGTTGGTGTGAGAGTCAGTAAGAACAAGGAGGGCACCTACTACGCGTCCCATTACAACTCCCCCCATGGAAGTGAGTACCCCGCGCGCGCTGCTTACAAATCAACGGTGTTTCATAACTGACTTTGTGGGTCACCAGTCAAATAAACCGCCAGCAAGAGCTGGAGAGGGAAGCGCTCACAGACGAGCCTCTGGTGTGGCATCTCGACACAATAAGCCCCTTCTCCTTCCAGTTCCAGGTGGCTGATTCCACTGTATCGTGCCTTCAGGAGGTGATTATTGACAACACTCTCAGTAACGTATCTGAAGTGTATTCAGTATGCATTCCTAGAGTATTATTTGGGTGACTATTGATTTTTAAAAGATTTTTTTCAAATACCGAAGGTAGAAACAAAAATATTTACTATTCATAGACCTATAGAAAACCACACTTCTAGTTTAATAATTCCTCTTGAGAGGAGGAAAGTAAATAGAGGAAAGAACTAGGAGGCAAAAGACATTTATAGGGGTATAAATATAGGCTTGTATATATGTAAATATATTAACATATAACAATGGGGACATAGGTCTATGTACATATGTTAAGTATTAAGATAGCAGATGGACATTGGGCCTCTACTCAAGCCCTCCCTCAACACAAGAACGCTTTGTTCTAATAACCTGGCATTCTGTGATGCTCACCTTCATCACTGAAGACAAAATGGGTGCATAAGCAAACGTGGTGAAGAAAGCTATTTAGTGTCTGGGGTCTTAAAGGCTCAAAGTTAAACAAGTGGCCATTTAGCAGGGAAGCAACCAAGCTTCCTGTGTGATCATGAGGTGGTGATGGGATCAAGTATCAGGTATCAGAAGACCCAAAACAAATAACTATCTCAATGTGAATGAGGCGGGTCAGAGTGGAGACCCAAAGCCCATCTGTAGACAATTTTACATCCCCTCACAAAAGAGTCACAAGGAAGGGACGAGTTACCCAGGATCCAGCATAACACCGATGAAACACACCATTTCTCTAGTCCTTTAATGCTTCCTCCTCTCCTCCGCCCCCCTGCCCCGCCCCACTACCCCAATTTCTACCTTACAAATTTGGCTAGATCAGAGCATGTACACTGGTATAGATAAGAGCTCTCCACACACGGAATCCAGGACAGATAAACCCCTCAGGTTCAGTAATGGGAGTAGCAATACTATGAGAGTGGGGGAAGATGGGGGGAGAAGGGCGAGAAAAACGGTACCTATCACAGATCAAAATGATTGACGTTATAACACACACCCCACACCTTGGGGGACGAACAGAAATGTGGGTGAAGGGAGGCAGCAGATGGTGTAAGATATGAAAATAATAATATTTTATCATTTATCTAGGGTTCACAAGGGTGGGAGGGTAGAGGAGGGAGGAGGAAAAGAGGAGCTGATACCTAGAACTCAAGTAGAATGAAAATGCTTTGAAAATGATGATGGCAACATATGGATACAATTGATGTGTGGATTGTTATAAGAGTTGTAAGACCCTCCAACAAAATGATTAAGAAATAAAATAAAAATAATTCCTCTTCCCTCTCTCTTCTGTGCCTATATATACTTATTTTAAACATGGTGGAGATCATTGTATGTAAGTTTCCTTATCATGATCATTTTGTACTCAGATTCTGTTCTCTTGGCACTCTGAGCATGTTGTTAGTATAATTTTAATGATGGTCAACATCTCACTGTGGCTGTATTTGGGTATGTTCTATATCACGGTTGGCCAATGAAGATCACGACCACGTAAGCTGCATCCTTGGGCGGGTTGTTCAGGTTCCCTGGCGTTAGTTTCCTCAAGTGTAGAATTCGAGGTTGAACTGGAGCATCTGTAAGGTTCCTTTGAGTAGTTTCAGCTTAGTTTAACTTAACCAACATGTACTGATTGCCCCCTGGGGCCGGGCAGCGGTCCAGCTGCTGGAAATAGAGAGTCAATGTTTACCTTCTAGGAGGTTAACTTCTCAGGCACCTGGGAGAACAGATTCCAGTCCAAGGTTTAGAAGAGACTGTCTGGAGGGAGTCACGCGGATGTGTGACCAGTCACATGAACACAGGCAGGATTCCATAACTAGGAACTCAGACCCAGTGGGCGCAGTGGTTACACGTTGGGAAGCTAAACCAAAGGTCAGTAGTTCAAAACTACCAGCCGCTCCGAGTGAGAAAGACGAGCCTCTCTACTCCCGTAAAGAGTTGCCGTCTCAGAAACCCACAGGGACAATCCTACCCTGTCCTGTAGGGCAGGGTCCCTGAGCTGGGATGGACACAATAGCAGTGAGTCTGAGTGTGAAGCCTGGTTTACGTCGCGGTTCCATTGACCACAGAAAAAAGACACCAACTCTCATGCGACTTTCCCCACAGGTGCGCCCCCTCCTCCCGCTGCCCATGTGGCACCTGAAGAAACATTCACCTATGAGTGGACTGTCCCCCCAGAAGTAGGACCCACTTATGCTGACCCTGTCTGCCTGTCTAGGATGTATTATTCTGCTGTGGACCCCACCAAAGACATATTCACTGGGCTGATTGGGCCGATGAAGATATGCAAGAAAGGAAGTTTGCATGAAAATGGGAGACAGGTAAGTCTGACGATGAAAGATGCGACAGGACTCGCCCACACTGTGAGGAGAAGGAAACAACAAAAGAATATTGATTATCACGGGTTTTCTCGGGCTAACTAGATTGGTGCTGTGTAGAGCTTCCCTGGCTAAAGGATTGTTACAAGATAGGTTGAAAAAAATGTTTTCCATGGAGTTTTTTTCTTGTGATAGAATTGACTTCAACACACCTATAAAACCAGCTGTTGGTCTTAAAAATTTAATAAACATCCATGGAGGCAAATA